TTGAGAGAGTTTGTGGCGGTCGAATCTCACAATTAGAATCTAAGTGATTCTTTAGGGTTTGTAAAGTTCTGTGGAAAGCAAGCAAACACAAAGATCTCAAGAGAGTTTTTATTAGCTGTGAAGAAAGCTGTTACAATAGTGTTTTCTAATGAATTTTCATCCCTTTTTTGGGTGATAATGAAGGACTATATATAGTACTTCTAAGTAAATGGGTCAGCTAATAAAATAGACCTGGCCCATTAAGCAATATATCTAATTTAGGCCCATTATTCAATTAAACCCATTTTGCTTATTGATTTAATATCATTTTGGGCCTAGATTCAGAATGGGCCTTTGTAGAAGATGATGGTGTTGCTGCAGACAGATTATCATTCGGTGGAGAGGAAAGTGATGATGGTGTTGCCGTTGCGACTTCGATTATAACAGGTTCAATCGGTGTTTCCTCTAGATTAAACACACGGTTAGGAATGTATGAAAAACATACCACATTTTAAAGAACAAAGGAAAAAAATGAAGAATTAATGTTTATAGTGATTTCGGTGGTACTCTGATTTCCATGTGGAGAAGAAGAGGATATTGATGCTGGTGTTGCCGTTGCCGTTGTCGTTGCGAGTTCAATGTCGGGATCAACAGGTGTTTCCTCGGGATTTGCGTTAACCATAAAGATAAAAGACAACGTAGATTAGAAAATTCAAGAAATAAACAGATACAATCATTTTTTTTTTCTTGAGAGAGAATATGGCCAAGATCAAAGAGTCTATCGTTATTTATATAGTAGGTAGGGTCTACTCCGATGCGGAGAAGATGATATTCCATTTTTACCATGTAAATATTCGTTTAATGTAAAAAATTAGACAATATGGAATTTTTTTTTAATATTACATAAAAATTTTCTATGCAATAACTTAATCACTCTTATTTCTTACAGCGAAAGTTGATGAAGTGATTATTATGTCCAAAGAAAAAGGAAACGTGGTCCTTGCTGACCTGAAAATGATAATGATTTTTTGTATCATAGGATAATCATGGTATCGTATCAATAATATAAATTTATGGTAATTTAATTCTTTAATGATCATAGGATAGTTGTGGTATCATATCAATAATATAAATTTATCGTAATTTAAATGTCTGATGAATGTTATTAACCAGGATAACTTGATCGGTAATTAATGCCATACTATATTTTTTTACTAGGAATTTTATATCTATTTTTCAAAAGTGGTATTTTTGGTATATTTATTTTCAAAATGTCATTATAAATTATTTATTTTTAAAAATATTATTATTTAAGAACTTTAAATTCTAAACCTTAAAAGGGTTTTGACATCTATCAAACTCTAAAACCATAAAAACTAAACTAACATAAAATAGTTAATCCAAATTTAATTGATATTTTGAGTAAATAATATAATTTTAGTAGATTTTTTGAATATTGACATTTTTGAAAAGTGATATCTAAAAGTGATATTTTTTGAAAATTCTCTTGCTTTTTAAAAGTTTCTAGCAAACAAGATAGACAAAGTTTTCATTTTGGATGTGATTGTGTCATTTTATTGTAATACAATTCGAATAACAGAGGATAATTAGTAAATGTTTGGAGGTGAAATCCTAAGGTTTGTTTCCACTGAGAGTTATTAATTATATTTACTATTTTCACTACTTTTTTCCACTAACCGGTCTTACCTTTTTTTTTGTGGTTTTGGTGGACTCGAATTTATAGCCCGTGAGTCTTATAAACAAAACACCAAAAGACAAGTCAATGAACTCCAGAAAGCATAGAAAGAACATTAAAATACGTAAGAAAGATAGTTGGTGGTAACTGGTAACGATGACGTAGAATCTTCAAATATTACACTACCATTTTAAACAGTGTTACATTAAAAAGAAAAAGGAATTTTGTAGAAATACTCGTTCTTCTTTTTTGTTATTCTAAGAACTGATATACAATAATAATTCATAAAACGTTTAATCTGATCATGTCTGAATAAAAGTGTTTGATCCATGTATGTGTTATAAGGTTGAGTTATCAAATTATTACATACACTTTGAGTTTAATCCATGTTATAGATCCATGTATGTGTTATAAGGTTTATTTTGCGGTTCTACCTTTAATAGATTATCCGACCAGTATTCTATCCGAATTTTTCATCTGATATCATATATCCATACATGTTATGGATTTATATTTCAAGTTTACGGGAACAAGTTGTGTATAGAACGGTATATTCGAATTACTCGTTCGGAT